ATTCGGAAATGCAGACGCATGAAATAGATTTAACGCACTTCCTGGGTTCGAATGGTAACGACCATCCATCTCTCCTTAAATTTCTTTAATTGATAATGACCTTTTCCTCTTTCAGCTGAGTTGTTAAAAAAATGACAGTTCAGCTCAGATATCCTAATTATATATGAAATAATCCAATCACGTTATTTTTTAGCTTTATTGTTTATATGAAATATCACTGAATATAGCTAATCACCTAGAAGTATTCTCAACAATAATATTATGTTTACATGCCCCTTTTTACCCCATGACAGAAATTTCTAGATTTATTTCATTTAATCGAAGTAGTTTCTAATGAAATATTAAACCGTTTGAAGCATTAGGATATTCAAACTAGAATTTACATCAAAAGACGAGACGAAATTTTAATTTCATAAAAATTCATTGTATGTCGTAATTTGGCAATCATAAAATAATTGTAAAACTACGATAAGCAAACAAAAACATAGATCGATGTTCGATGTGACAAGTGAAATAATGCCGTATTTAGTTTAGTAGAGGTATGGAATTTGGAGTAATCGCCTATTATCAGAAATGGTCACAGACATACATGGGTCATAGTTGCGTTTATGGATCAGCATTCTAGTGAATGAGCTGCATTCCAAAAGTTCACAGAATTATATTATGATCAAAGGGGTTTGACTGATCAATTTGAACTTTCTGCAACTGAGTGAGTAATACCAACTTGATCGCAGTCATTGTCACAAACTACTAATAAATACATCAGCATAAATGTAGTCTAATTCTTAAGCCTACTGATTAAAATCTAATAGACATAATTTGCCAACATTCTGACATCCTACCTCTACCAGTACAATAAAATCTAATTTCTAAAATCTATTTTACTCAAGTTTCAGTCCATACATTTTACATAAAACTGAAATTCCAGTTTGGTAAGAAATCGTCCATTGAAATTATAAGTTGACAATCCTTCAGTATTTAGTCGGAACATGTATTACGTATGACCAACAAATACTTACTTCTAAGGGCAAAGTTAGCTAGTTTAGGAGTAGCTCGAACCAAAAGGTAGAGACTGTAAAAACCAAAACGTGATATCAGTCCATTACAGACTGCTGATCCGAGTCACCTAGCTCGGGACCAAGAGATCGGTGGTTCGAGACGTTAGATAAGATGACTCAGAATCGGTCACAATGGAATAGATCCATTCATTAGTTATATTCCAATAAACTTTAATGTACAGTATTTCCTCATGTATATTTTTTCTACTCCTTTCTAAAACTAAATGGTTTATTAGAATGGATATTATACTCATTAAAATCATTTACAATTCATCATGCTAATTTCATCTGATAGTACTAATGGGGTATAGTTTCATTAAAGCACATTTTTGTCAAACTATTCATTAATTATAAATAGCTGACTGTATTTTTCATTTGATGTGTCTTTATTTTATCCACCTTTATAGATTTATATTCTCTGTACGCTAACGTATGAACTCAATAAATATCTCATAACAGAGATGTGAATAAAAAGCAAAATTGTACGCATGAGTTATGATGTTATTTTTCTAATTTGCCTTGTTAAACTAATGAAAAATTAATGTGTTACACCCATATATTGTTCATAGGATACTCAAATGATATATAAAGCCTTTCTTTCCAGGAAAACAAAATTGATAAACAAATCGATAATATTTTTCAATAATCATTAAACTGAAAAAATACGTATATAGAATTTCCTATGATTTCTATCTCACAATTGGAGCATGTATCCTAGAGAGTTTGTTATGATAAATAGCACTAATTATTGTTCTTCAACAAGAAGTACCTTTGTTCTTGATAAGAACAGTTCTCCTAAAGGGATTCGGACTTGCATCATAGTATGATATATTAACATTGATTATTTGGGGTCAAGATTGACCTTGTGGTAGGAAATTCATCATGTCATTTTATAGCCCAAAAGCTTATTCACAATCTTTTAAAAGTAAATATCATTAGCAGTATCCAGTTTTTCCCATTGATAACTTTGAACAAAGTAAGAATAATGAGTATATTAGAATAAGTTGAATTCGTCTATTTCATAGATTCTCGCCAGTTGTTTACAACCTAGATATAATAGTAATAACTACCAATGTTATATTGATGAAAATCAATAGAATAATGCAATCATGAAAGTATCATAAAGTGGACATTGTGTTGATATTTTAAAATCGTTCAAAATAATCACTACCTAACCAACTTTGAATCTACTATGTTACATTGAAGTCATAATAGTCAAAAAGCTTAAACTAAACTTATGTATTTAAAAGGATAGAATTGTAAATACTTCACTATTATGATTCCTTTTATTTTCATTATCTGACAACGTAACTTCCTTTTTTTTTGAGCTTCACTCATCTTACTCTCTTATTCTAACAAATTTCTTGTTTATTATTACGTAACTTCAATATTTATCCTCTAGAAACGCGTCTCCATGTGCTTTAAACATTTTTTGTCCATAATTTTCACATTTAATAACATAAATATTTATCTTTTCTACCACTTTATATTACTCCCATACTTGTCATCGGGTTTCTGCTAATCTTCACTAATATGATATAAAGTATGCACATTTATTATAGATAATGATAATTATTATTTCTAGGTTGTTCCTGATTTATTCAAAGTATGATATCTAACTTAAATTATTAACATTATCCCGCGAGCGGGATCGTGGATGGGCACTGCAGAGGAGTCCCACAATAGGACGAAACGGCCGTCCAGTGCTTCCAGGTTTTCAACGGTGGTCTAACATCAATCGGCTCATGATCTCAATCAAAACTTAAATTATTAAATAGGATGATTACGTATGAAACATTGAACACTTAAAAAATAACGATAACATCAAATAATTTCGTAAGAAGGTATACTAAAATCATCAATCTAATTACAAATGTATTGCGCAAATATATCACATAATTCAGATAAACTACGTCTTCTCATTGCATTATCGAAATTTATCAAAGGGACTAATTGTTTTAATTACAAATTGTTTTAAAACAAATTGCTGATGCATCACTTAGTACAATCGGTCTATGAAATTAAAATAAACGAAGTCAAATACACTTGATATTGTTTTGTTTGAATCTTCCCATTGATGTTTTTGGACTGAAATTGATCAGTCTGGGAAGATTCAAACAAAACAATATCAAGTGAATTAAACTTCAACCCATTGCACAAGCAAGTGGCTATCAGGACTCAGTAGCTAAGTGGATAACGCGATGGCGTTTGAAGCGAACGGTACTGAGTTCGAGTCCCAGAGTGAACATCAACTCTGAGATGCAGGTACATCCAGCTGACGAGTCCCAAACAGGACGAAACGCGCGTCCTGGATTCCACTGCTAGCCACTATCCATCTTTGCTTATAATGAAGTCAAATACGTACTCATAAACCTTTAGAAGTATAAGAAACACACCCAACTGAGTTTATTTCTTTTTCTTCTCAATAATACAAATTAATCGTTTGTTAAATATTTAGGGATATTTTGTGAATTATGTGAAGAAGTGATGGAACAAAGGATATGAATTAATCTTAGTGATATGCAGAGATTTAATCAGTAAAAAGACAAGTTACATCAGCTAATAAAATTATAACTAGACAATATTGAAATTTATGAATTCTTTGAAAATGCTGACCATCAGATTCGATAAATTACCATGTGGTAACGTGTTTAAAATTGGAAATGGAAGACTCAATATGAATCTATACCTAGTCATTAATAAATACCTGGTCATTAGTTGTATTGTGGAATTAAAATGATCTTTATTTGATAGCATTTATTAATGGAAATTGTCTTTAAAATTTAGTTATCGAGTATATGCAACATAAATCACGAATAGACACTAAACGTTTTAAAAATAGAATGTATGAGGGTTAACGAAACTACATATTTACCATAATTGTAGTTGATGCAAAATGGTTTGAATCTCAGAACTTATTCTATGATTATGCAGTGAATTAGCGGTTATACTCTCAACACCCAATCGGAATATAAAAAAACTTTTATTTTATGTGAAATTCAAAAATCAAAAAATAAATCTTACATGGAATACATAATAGAAATATTCCAATTTACGTTGCCGATAATGAACTTTATATAAACTATCTGTTCCTACGGTGTTAAAAGCAAAATATGGATAATAAGCCCTGAAAATCTAATGAGCTTCCTAAAATCAGTAAACTGTAATCGGCTTCATTGTTTCTGTTGAGAAATACTTTTGATTTATATAAGTTCTGTTCATTAAGTAAAAAAGTGACTTTGATTATATTAACCCTAATATAATGGATCAACTAAACAATTTTTCCATGTTCATCATTGAAGAAGTCTTTACATTCAATTTCAATTTCAAATATCAATGAGTTAGTCATGTTTAAAGCATACAGAATTATATAAAGGTTGAATACAATAAAATTCATTATAACATCCCAACATCAGGAAATGTATTGACCAATTATATCTAACCCAGCATGTAATCATACACTGAAATCTTTGAAATCAGTGAAAAAATACTTTAAAGTTAATGATTAATTTGCTATTTTTTTCTCACAATCATTTAAGATTAGTATTTCATCTCGTGAATATATTCTCTTGTGGTCAGTGTTATCATTCCCATTAATAAATAGTTTATTTACTTAAAATAAATGAATATATTGCTAAAAATATAGATAGCAACTATTGTATGATTTTGTAATGGTTTGAAAACTACTCATCATTCACTAACATTACTTTCATATATCTGTGCATTTTGAGAATGAATCAAAAGTAGCACAATAAACAGCTTTTCGAATGTGTTGGTTTTCTTTTCGTTATTTTTTTCTTTACTTTATATCTATCATTAACCTCAAATTGTATATATCAGTGTATCCAAGATAAATTATTTCTTTAAAATAAAGTTAAAATTGTTTATGATAAAAATGAATGAAATTTGTATTCTCATCTTAAGAAATATTTGTTCCCTTACCTGTAAACATGTTCTTGGTAATGATGGTAGCTCAACTGGAAGAAGTGTAGTAGCACCATATATAATCATTCCCCAGATAAAATTAATAGCGATTAATAAAGGAGTTGCAATCGCATAATTATTGTAAATAAATTTCATAATATTTTTAAATGTAGGAGTTGTATGTGCATTCTGTTTTTCGTCAATAATTGATAAATAATTGGAGAAACTATAAGGTTTTGATGAATATGTATTTTCCTTATCTATAATATTAGGAATACGGTCATTACATTTTGCTATTTTGTCTAAGACTTTAGCTGATTCTTCATAATTTCCCCATTGAGCTAAAATGATAGGTGACTCTTGAATACAGTAGGTCAGACCGAGTGCACACAATATAAGAGGTGCTGTTGTGAAAAGTACAAAAAACCTCCAACTAAGTTTTGATGTCGAACAACCAAGGCCAACACCAGTTACATATAGAGCAATGAATGAATCAAAAAAGCAAACAAGCAGTTGACCAGTAGGTTGGTAGCTTTCTGGTAGTACTTCTGATATCATCGAGCAACCAGCAGTTAGCAGACCACCAATGTACAAGCCTGAGATGAAACGTAAAACTGCAAGCCATATGTAAGTAGGCGAAATAGCACACAACCACGTCATGTAGATTAGAGCAAGACAACATAGAATATTAAGATCTTTCCGTCCAAGCCTATCTGAGAGATACCCAATAGGTGGGGAACCAATACATATCCCCAAAAACACAAGGGTAGTAAGAAGTGCAACATAATCCGAACTCATATTCCATTCACAGCGTAATGTTGGTCCAAGAATTGCTTGAATTAACGTTTCCATAGTATCAGTAGCTTGAGCCATACCAATAATTATGATGACACGAACCTGATACCAGCCAAACCCTAGTTGGTCCAGAACAGTCTGAACTCCAGAACGTTTGGTAGCGTTCTCCGACTCCATCTGTTGTACTAAAATGAAGCTCACAGACAACTACATGTTACCATGAACACAAACGATATATTCCGATTAGCCAATCAGCTAGTTACAAACTCAAGGACAGATAAATACTAATATATGCTATGGTTGGCTCGTACTTTGAAGTCCTTTAATGTTTATTAATTTTAAAATGACACACTTTTAATTTGTGTTATGAAATAAGTCAGTACGAGAGTATTCAGAAAAACTAAAGCAGTATTGGATATTGAATTTGGTCGCCTTTGTACTTTTGTTAATACGCATCTAACGTGTCATTTCGGTCAGACGTAGATGGCGGTGAAATGGTAAATGTGTCTAGACTAGCCCTTATATTTGGGCTTTGTGGACTTGTACACGCTGCTTTCTCAGCTGCACAGCGTAAACTCTTAATAATTTAAACTACCATACCTTATTTAACTTATATAGATCGTTCATATATTCGTCTAACTGATCAGGAGTATATCTCGTTACCGACAGACGTAATTTTATCAGTTTATTGTGATTAATTATAACCTACGTAGATTGTTGTTCAGATATTTATCTCATTCATTGCTGTGTGCGTAGGAGTTGTTGGTCTTTCTGGAACTTTAAAGGAAATAGAAGCCGCCTCAGAATTTAGAGAGAAGTATGTCAGATTATATATCTAAAGTGTTCTTAAGAACTTGGGATTCACTTGGAAATCATCCATCATTCTATATCTTCCATCACCGCAGACTCCCTTGTTTGTCACAAACTACTCATTAGTGTTTTGTGTTGTCGTTGCAGTCCGATGACCCCTAACCCTCTTGCTTCTGCCCTAGGACACACAGATTCAGTGACAGCATTGTCACTCTCTGATAATCTCTTAGCTTCTGGAGGGGAGGATGGAAATACATATCTCTGGTCTTTGGATCAAAGTCAATTTCCCGTTCTCTGTGCCCCAAGACTAGATCATTGTTCTAGTCTCAAATTTAGTGCAGCAAGATCACATATTCTGTACAGCGCATATGGTCAGCAAATCGTCTCATGGGATATTCGTCGTATGACTGAGCCAGTTGTTACTTGGGAGGTAAATTAAATTTTGTAACTGTACCTAACCTTTTCACTCTAGGTTAATGATGATGAAATCAACTCAATTGATTTTTCTGGAGATGAGCATCGTCTTTCGTCTGCAGATGATTCTGGAGCTGTTCAGATTATTGACGTGAATAATGGCCAGGTTACACGTACTCTTAAGAAACATGATAACATATGTTCTTCAGCCAAATTTCGTCCTGGTCGAACCTGGCAATTAGTTAGTGGTGGTCTTGATTGCAGAGTTATTGTCTCTGACTGGAAGGGCTCTGGTCTCGGTGTGATCATTTTTGAAATGGATGAAATCGTTGAAAGTCCTGATGAGTTCTTACAGTCCTTACCAACTGATTCAGACTGGCGCCATGGATCAAGCACAAGTAGTAATGATAATGTGGAAATCGACTACGATAATTCAAATGATACAGATTTTGAAGCTACTTACGCAACCGGACATTCTCAAATTATCGCTGATAGTAGTTCCCTAAGTCCATCCTCTGGGATTGGTTCCGAGTCCAGAAGCGAACACTCTGTTTTGAGTGATGATGAGCATCTCAGGATTACTAGCGATCATTCGTATTCACGAACCCGTCACACAGAACGACGTGTAAGTTATACACTTTAAACGAGTTAATATCGTAATAACCACTGGTCAACGGCTAGTAAGATTCGTGATCAACTGATTAATGTTAGTCTGGTATTCTGTAATTGCTTCTTTGTGCGATGTTACGATTTACTATAATACAATCAACCACTGACATATAAATATATAGGTTTGCCACTACTTCAGCATGACCTATTCAGGTTGCTACGCTTCAGACTAAAAACAATTCATTACAAAACCAATCGGGTTTCAACATGTTTTACCCACTTTTAAAGAGCATAGTAACCAACAGTTGTACCTTCCAACATCAGCGTTACTTCGGATTCCTTGAAACCGTCTACCTAGAAGAAGTGTTTCTTATAAATGGTGATACTGATTATTCAAATATCAATGGACCAACATCCTTAAGTAAAGGATAGACCTTCAGTCGATCATAGCGTAGAACCTGACAAAAATAGGCGTTAACTGGGATACAGTTCCTACTTTCGTATAAACTAGAGTCAGTAACAACGTAGAACTTCGTGCGTACATCATTTCGGGTTGCCACACCACGTTAGTAGATAGATGCTGTTGTCGATTCAAATCCTGTATTGGTAGAGGTAATAAGCGGAGGGAATTATCAAGTACTATCTTTTCCAAGGTTAAATTTCCATTTGAAAAGACATTTGTGGCTTACCTGTCATAAACTCGCTTGCCTTATATCAGTTTAGATACATATATCAGGCGATTTCTGACGTAATTCATTTATTGTGTATACTTACTTGGATTTAAACCATACTTTGATTGAGAGATGGTGGTACTATATGGCTTCTCGGGTTTAAGTCGAGCAATTAAATCACAAAACCACCTCTTCAGCTTTCAAATGTCTTGTCTATAAGTGTCCCTATTTTCTTTAAATGTGTGGGTTAATCACTTGTCTCACAAAACCTGGAGAGTTTTCCTTGGTATCTGTGCACACTTATCCACAATTACTAGTCTACAGTGTTTTCTGATTTTCCTACAACATTAAAATCAATAGAATCCCTTCTCAATTTGTTACTGTAATCGAAAATGTGCACAACTACTACGAGTTAGCACCATTTTTCGATTTTAAATGCTTCGATAAAGCTACCTGTATCTTTTTAGCGAATCATCCAAATTAATTGATAAATTCATTCGTAGTGATATCCTGTTTTGTTTAGCCATCTTATTAGTATACTTTCATTATTTTAGGCAGCGGCGTCATATGATGACATTTCAGTGTAGATAATTATATTAAATTTTGCTTTGGTTGTTAGAAGGGGCATTGATCTCGTGAAATCCGAAAATTCTCGGCTTTTATCATGAGGCGGCAGTTCGTTCTGTTTTAATTTTCGGCAGCGAAACATGGCCGTTAAGAGTAGAAGATACTCGTAAGCTACTAGTATTTGACCACAGATGAATTAGAAATATTGCTGGCGTCTGCTGGGATCACCGGGTAAGTAGTAGTGAGGTTAGACCCAGGGTATTAGGGAATGATAGTAAATCAGTTGATGAGGTTGTGAATCTTCATCGACTGAGATGTTTTGGCCACGTGTTGCGTATGCCTGAACACCGATTACCAAGACCCACAATGCTGACTAGTGTTGGGAATGACTGGAATTAAGTTAGGGGCGGCCAAACCAAAACGTGGCATCAGTGCTTGAAGTCACTAACTCCGTTACGGAGTGGGTGTGGTTCATATGTGGTCCAGTTCACGAAGTCCTAGATGACTACCTGGTTACAGTATTATTACTATTATTGCCTTTCTATACTTCCATATTATGTCTAGTAGAGATTTCTAATGATTCCGTTTTCTATCAGCCTACTATTGATAATAATATTTCCAGTGTTCGGATATTTCACCAGTTAACTATTATTTTACAGGAGCTACCACATGTTTCAGATCACCGCATATCATCTAATCATGTAACGTGGAGATCTGGATTGCCAATTAATCCTCCAATGGTTCACTCTGTTGCTTGTTCAGTGTCCGGAGATTTTGTGGCTGCCGGACTTGAAAGTAGCACTATCGAATTATTCGCGGGTGACGGCAAGCGTTTGAACCATTTAGAGTCACTCTATGGTCACACACGCGGGGTATCGGCTCTTCATTTCATTGATGTAAGTTTGAATTTTCAGTGTTATTTATCTATTCATGTCTTCATTGTAATTTAACGTTTAATTTCATAATAATATGGTGGTGGTATTGGCATACTTTTCATGACAAGCACAACTGAAATTAATTACCGGTAATACCACATTTTCGTTATCATTTTCGATCAACATAACCAGTTCCTCTATTTAGAGTGACTCAGCAGTAATCCTAAGTGTGTCATGTTCTTTATGGAAATTTTGATTGAACTGATTATATTTGTACCATATGTTTATTGCATTAAACTTATGTATGTTTAGGTGTTTTTGATCATAGAATTTGTGTTAATTCATAAAAGAATACTTTTGGAAACTAAATAGGTTCTTAGTCACTTCACACTACTGATTTCTCCAATGTAAATGAGTGGTATATCTAATTACGTATAATCGTATGCCGCTAGATTTGTTTACCATTATTAAATTCTTCAATAAGCAATCAAATGTGTCGGAGACAAAATGACTTATAAGCTGATTATCCATATTTATTCCAAACGTACATTATTTGTCCAGTAAATACACAAACTGACTTGTTTCTGGTGAAATTTCGAAAATGGCTTGTGGAGAATAAGATTGATGTCTCCTAAACCTTTTAACATAACTTCGCTATAATCTTCATCTGTTCTTTGTTCATAGACAGTACCGTTGATTAGATAAGTGCTAGGATGTTTATAATTAGTAAATATTGAACTTAGGTATTCAAAGAGATAAACATCCTAAACTCTAACCGAGAATTGTCGTAAAACAGAACCTTTCGTTGACTAATTAAACAATCATTTTAAAAGATTAAACATAGCGCGGCCACGTCACTTGGCACTTAATCTTAAAAATGAAAGTTATCTATGTTATGTTGCATTCGTTTTCAATATTTAAGGATTCATTCTTAATCAGTGGTGGCAATGATCAAAATATATTCGTCTGGACACTTGGATCCGAAGTTACAGGTTACAATGTATTTCATGGCGAAAAAGTTAGTGCTTTTGAAGGGACATGTCTTGATCGTATCATAGTTGCAGATTTCTCCCCTGTTATCCAAGTACGTCTTGTTTTATTGTTCTTTATATTATTTATAATATTGATACTTTATCACTTGGGGTGCAATAGAAAAGAACCCATAGATGTCCCACATTAATTTCTGTAAGTGAATTTGTTTTTATGGTTGTGTATGATAAAATCGTAGGCACCTCAGTTATTCTTCTGAATCATTCTTGAAATATGATGGCTAGCAACTAATTCTAATTTCTCTGGATGTATCCGTATTGAATATATCATCCTATTGTTCATTACTACCATATTGTGCTACTTTAGTTGTTATTTACCTCCTTGTACTCAGCGAAAACTAATGGAAAACTTTTTGCTGTGAGGTTCGAAACTCCCCCCAAATGCCCTTGTATGGTCGAGGATAGGGAGTTGGAAAACCCTGGTTTCAAACCGATGATGCACATGGAGTCCTGGATCCTGGGGGAACAAACGGCTTATGAAAATATTGTTGGTCACCGGCTACCATGAGACTGCATCTCAACGTTGATCCACCGCCTTGTGGATTGGACCTCTAAGTCAAAGGCTCGGGGTGTGACTCCCTAAGAAAACCACTTGCTTTGGTTTGGGTTCACGGGTAGTTTCCCACCCCACACACAAGTCGAATGATGAATTCTTGGTATCAGTTACAGTATTTTAAACATGTCTTTTCCGATGATGATAGTTCGTTTCGAAAAGTTGAATTGTGTGACAGGCTTTAGTATTTACATCGATTCTAAAACCCTCATTAGTGTATTAGTGGTGACCGTAATTTCTTACTTTACGATGTTGATTCTGATTATCTACTGTTATAACCCTATCATAACAAATAATGCAGTAGTAGGTTCTTTGTCGTATCTCAGTCTTTGCGGATATCATGTAAGTCATGCTGACATTCGATAGTATGTGTTCAGGTGTGGTGGCG